GGGGGGGGGGGGGGGTTGGAATCGGCTCAAACTCCCACTAAAGCCGCCTGAAATTAATGATCTTTTAAATTTTAAATGAAATTGATGTATTAATTTAGCGAATTTAGTTAAAACTTTAATTTATAAAGTTTCAAATAAAATGACTAATTTAATTAACATGAATTTAATTTTATTTAACTTGTAATGAGTCAAATTGGAATAATCAGAGCCATACTAAATTGAACTCGAACGAGTGGATTGGGCTCGACGTTGAGTTAATTTGATTCAAATTATGTTAAAATTGGGTCCGATTTAAGTCGATTTTGATAGGCGAGTCGATGCTACGTCAATGGGTATCCATCTAAGGGGATCTTTAAGGACGACATCTACACTAGGCTTCGAAAACCTATGAGCTAAAGATGGATCCCGAGAAAATTGACCTCAAATAATGAGGTCAACATATATTACTATATATTTATGTATTTATTAGGGGGTTCTTTGCTCGGAATGCATTATATCTCTTCAACTATCCCAATTATTTCATATTTCATCTCCAAAAAGAGCTTTGCTTATTATGTCTTAGTACAAAGTACAGCTTTACTAAATTGGTAATCGTAAGAATATTGAAAAGCATTTTTGCAATATTCTTTACTAAATGGGTATATCTACACTCGAATGTGTCATAGATTGAAAGCAATTTTGCAATATTGTCAAATGACTAATTAATTGTGACAAAAAATATAAAAATTTTAATGTTAAATTTACCAATTCAACTAATGAGATAAATTTTCCAACTAAAACTAAAAGGCTTATTAAAATTACATTCCATAATTTTAGAATAAAGGATTAATTTTAATTAATAATAAAATAAATCAATTTTTATAACATAAAAAGTAAAATATATTTGAAATAGCACATTATCCTTGTTGTGTCCTGGAATATTCACGGCGGTAGAGAAATATATAGTTTAACGTCTTAGCATTATACGAAGATCCAGCACACAAACAGATAAAAGAGGGGGAGTAGCATTCATAAGATACACTAGAGTTTTTATGTAGAAACTCCTAAAAAGGGAGAAAAACCAAGAGACGTGGCCCAGTTTGAATGAATCTGTTAGTATTTGCAGTCGATTACAAATGAGGCCCTTCCTTGGGAGAAGGTCTTTGCTTAATGCCATAAATGTACATCATCTAGAGCACATTATATGGTGGGAGTTACAATCATTAACATTAATATGTTTGCTTGATCGGCATAACCATAGTCGATAAGATAGAGGATGGAAAGACCATAGTTGGTAGGAGACCGAGGTTAGAAAGATCGTTATTTGGTGATGTAGGTCAAAAAGATCGTAGTAGGTGACA